CAGTATAATTACAGTCCTTTTAATAACCAGAATGAGAATTTGATATAGACATTCGAGGTATGGACGTATAACATAATGCACATTAGTTTACTGCTTTATAAATTCTGTAATAATTTAATTGCAAGCTTATCCGCATTATAAATTCTCATCAATCTTTCACGGTATGGCATTAATAGCCTTTTTGTGCCCTCATATCTCTCAAAAATAGCTAATGATACAACTTGAGTTAAATAGTTAATTGACGTTTTAATAATTAGGCTACAAGAACCATGTTCTGATTAAAGATATCGTGAGGAAGGAAACTTGAGGGAGGGAGTTAGGAACAGTGGGAAAGCATCATGATGACTGAGTAAGGACGGTTTACATCAACAGAGCACAGTGAGACAGTGTATGTGAAGGGAAAACTTGGAGGTAGAGAGAAACTTAGAGGAATAGTGAATTCGAGAGAGAAAAAAGTAGAAAGAAGGAGATGGAGACTTGAATGCAGACAGATCACTGAGCCCACCTGGCTGCCCTTGATGTGCTGCATTTGCCAGTGGTGAAGCCATTAGCTCACGTCTAACAGAGACACATAATCCGGACACTGTTATAGATGAAAGGTCATGTAAAAACTGTCTTTGCTACATTTAGAAATTATTCACCTAATTCATCCCCCTGCCTACAGATAGAATCTTCAAATCACATCTCAATAAATGATTGCTGATGCCTTTTTAAAAAGGCTTATCGATACCTCTGGGAAAAAAAATATATATATATATATTTTCTTATTTGCATCTGTACCCACTGATATTAGGGTTAAAACTAATTTCCTTTTATTAATTCATTCATCACATTATTTTTAATTTACCTAAAACATCATTGGATTATAACAGATCCCTTAAAAGTTCAATTTTCAATGGCTTAGATATCTGCAGAATAGACTTTCATCTCCTTACAGATATATTTGCGAGGCATTATAGAAAACTGTTCTAACCTCTAGTTCAAGTCTCTTGTTATCCATTTCTCAATACAAACCCTGTGCATTTCTACCTACAGATCAATACACAATACACAAATCTGAGCTTAGGTCTCATCCCAGGGGTTTTTCCTTACTTTGGCTGTCTTTCCGCTTTTTAATTCTTCACCTCTGTAAATCGTATCTCTCCAAGTCCCAACACTCGTGCATCTTTCTTCTTCATGCCTCTTTCTTCATTCCATAGATAGAAAGCTCTGCATATAGTGAACTGACAAAGTAAATGTGACCTCTACCTCTATTCTATAGAAAAGGAAAATATGGACCTTCAGTTCACACAAATCTTGGTTTACAGTCTTACTCTACCAACAACACCTGTGTTACCAGGCAGATTAACTAACATATCTGAGATTGCTTTTAATATCCTCCAATCTCTCACTGGGTTTTGTAAAGATATTATTTCATTTATCGTCTAAAAAACTGTGACAAACATAAAAATACAATAATTTTACAGAGAATATAAAAATATGTGTTGCAAGTCAACAAGAAAAACTACCTCCCTGTTTAGAGGACTTTAAGATAAAGTTTCTAATATACATAGTTTTTGAAGAAAATATAGTTCCATGTGGTTGAAATCTAAAATATTTTAGATGTTTTGGCAGGTGCCATCTCCCTCCATCTTACCTTCTAGGGGTTCCCAGCAAGATATGGTACTAATGAAAGAGTAATTTAAAACCTTTAAATTGCCCAAGAAAACCTATGCAACATGATTTTACTAGGTCATCTGTGGTTTAATTTCGTGATCACTCCAGAGAACACAGTCCCTTGGCTGCAATTATTATGTAGTGCTGTGTGCTGTCATTCACTCTATTTCCTAGGAACTCATATGGAATTAGTTTCCAGCTGAAAAATATATATCTTGATATTTAAGATCAAACAGAAAGCCCTGTCATTTTCTTGTATTTTGGTCTTCTTTCCCTGTAAATAGGACTCTGTTAAAGTTCAGCGATATTTTCACAATGAAAATCAAGTGGTCTAATCTGAGTATCATCCATCTTCAGATTCCAGTATTTGAGATTTAAGCACCATTGTAAATTATTCTTTCACAACTTTCCATTGTGGTTACTATTCTTTTTTGATTCTATGACAAGTTGTCTTGTCACTGTCCTCAAATATACTAGGTTAGTTTTCTCTCCGTGGAATTAATTGAATGCTTTAGACTTTCAGATATATCCTTCTTTTTCTCCTTTGTTTACATTTATAATATCTGCATCTGTAGTTTTTTTTATTTTTTATTTTTTGCCCGAAGAATAAACAGAATTGCTGTCATCTATGCCACTTTCCCGAGATGGCTTATTTTAAATTTTACTTGTCACTGTGTACCTTCTGATCTCTTATTTCTTCCTTGACACAATAATTTTTTAATAACATGTTATTTAATCTGCACATATATGTGGTTTTCCCAGTTTTAGTCTTGTAGTTAATTTTCTGTTTCATAACACTGTGTTCAGAAAAAATGCTTAGTATTGTTTAAAATTTGTTATATTTACTGAGACTAGTTTTGTGTCCCAGCATAATTTTGAGACAGAAACTTCTGTAAGTATTGATTATGTCCATTTGCTCTAATGTGTCATTTAAAATCAATATATTCATATCAGTATTTTATCTGGATGATCTATCCATAGCTATCAATGGGTATTCAGGTTCCCTTCTTATTGTATTTTCATTAGAATTTCTTTTTAGCTCTGTTAGTGACTGCTTTGTATATTATTGTGGTCCTAGATTTGGTGCATATATGTCGATGTGTTATGTCTTGTTAAATTTCATTCTTTATCATAAAATGTCCATCGTTGTCTCTTGTTACCTTTTCTATCCTGAAATCTATTTTCTGTCATATAAGTACTTTTATACTTTTCTCTGGACACCATTTGCTTGGAGTATCTTTCATCCCTTCCCTTTGAGCCTATGCTTTTCTTTGGAGCTGAGATGAGTCTCCTACAGGCAACATATAGTGGGTTTTGATTTTTTAAACCGTCCTTTACTCTGTGCCTTTTTATTAGTGAGTTCAGTCCATTTATATTGAGAGTGATTATTAGTATAGAGACTACAGATATTTATCTTTTGTTTTCTGGTTACTCTGTATCTTCCTTGTTTCTCTACCTTGCTATTCTATCTGTTATTTTAGTTTGTTGATTTTCAATATTCTTTTTGCCATTTCCTCTTTTGTATTCTTTTGTGTCTCAGCTATAAATTTTCGTTTTTTGGTTACCATGAAGTTTGTGTAAAATGTTTCATCTGTACAATTATCCTTTGTCTTCTGATTTCCTCTTCTTTCACCTTTACCTGTTCAGTCTTTTTCCTATTATCATTTTATAATTTTTTTCACAAATTATCCCTTTTTATGTTTTGCATTCATTACCAAGTTGCAGTAGGCATAGTTATTTATTTTTTA